GTTTTTTTTTAAATTAAAAAAAATTATTTTAACGTGTAGAGCATGCAGGGACAACTGGGCTGTCGCCTCTCAGTGTAGTCATTTCACTGCCATGCTTGGAGAATGAGAGTGTCTGTGGAGTGGAGTCCCCTGGGGTGCGTTGCAGAAGCGTAGTCCCCCCATTGCCAGTTGTGTATGTAATTTGGAAGGAAGAGAGGATTATTTGATGGGCCTTGGCTTCATTTATTTGTTGTTGTTTTTTTGTGGGGTTTTATTGTTGTTGTTGTGTTGTTAATCCTCACCCAAGGATATATTTCCATTGACTTTTAGAGAGTGGAAGGAAGGGGAGAGTCAGAGAGAAACATCGATGTGAGAGAGACACATCGATTGGTTGCCTCCCACACAAGCCACGACCTGAGCCAGGGATGGAGCCTGCAACCAAGGCACGTGCCCTTTGACCAGAATCGAACCTGGGACCCTTCAGTCTGAGGGCCAGCACTCTATCCACTGAGCCAAACCGGCGAGGGCGGGCCTTGGCTTCATTTACTTCCCCTTCTTTTGTCCCCTGTGTTTCTGGCTGCCTTGGTTGTACTGGAGTCAGGAGTGAATGATGGTTATGACAGATGGTCTGATGCATGACAAAGAGTAAATAGTGATGTGCTGCTCATGATATCGCCACTGTTCTAAGCACTTTCAGCAACTGATTCATTTAATCTTAAAAAGCAAACAAAAAACTCTACAAGGTAGGAATCGTTATGTTCACTATACAAACAAACAGTAAGCAAGGAATCGTTTTCACTATACAAACAAACAGTAAGCACAGGGAGAGGAAGTGTCTTGTCCAAGAACTCGAAGCCCGTACGTGGTGGAACTACTAGAGGCTGGACCCAAAGTCTGTGCTGTTAATCACAACAGGATGTTCTTCCTCCTGGTAAGCCCTTTCCTATCTGTGTGCTTTGTCACTCAGTGAGATGGTAGTCGATGACAGTATCGTGTGCATGCATGTCTTTCTCTCACCGTTTTTCAGTAACAAATAGGGCAGACTTCCCGGGTACTAGAGATCGCCAACGCAGAGCAGTCCAGGCTGACCTCCGTCTCTGGGACAGGCTCCGTTCCCTGCCGTCACACGTCCTCGGTGACTTCGAGGAACAAGTCAGCACCCTCCCAGTTACTGACCTTTTTCTGAGAATGTCGTTTGAAATCATTTTCTTCGCATTTTAACAGGTAACAAAAGTCAGAGACATGTTCTGAGGCCCGACTCCCTGGAAGGGACCGACGAAGAGGACCCAGTCACGGCCCTGGAGTGGGACCCGCTGTCCACGGATTACCTCCTGGTGGCCAATCTGCATCACGGGATCCGGCTGGTGGACTCGGAGTCGCTCTACTGCATCACCAGCTTCAGCTTGCCCAGCGCAGCCGCCTGCGTGCAGTGCGTGGCCTGGGTCCCCAGCGCCCCGGGCATGTTCATCACCGGAGGTGAGGACCCCACCCCCCACGTTTAAAATGCGCGTGTGTTCTTTAATTCGGTCAGGAAATGCTACTCCTTCGTTGGTTACTTCTGTGTAAGACCTATTAATGCTGCCAATGTTATCATTTATTATAGTAAATGCCTGGTTTACTTTTATTTGTACTGTATGTCATTAACATAATGACAAATACAAATGACATTAGGACCCTGTTATCCAGGTTTCTGGTAATAAATTGGGATATGTATGTGCACACGTGTGCATGTTCATGTTTGTGTGTGTAAAAATACAAACAGTTCAGTTTCAGGAACGGCAGGACGAGAGTTAAAGGACGGACTCGAACAGCGGGTATCTGGACAGGAGGCCTACGAGCCTTCCTAGGGATTGTGATCGGGGTGAGCCCTATGCCTAGGCAGCCCCAGAATCTATCACATGGCTTCCTAATCAAGAGAGTGAGCAAAGTCAAGGAGGGATGGGGATGGGAAGAGGGGGGGTTTAAAATACTCATTAGAAATTAACTAGTATTACTATTTACTCTTTACTTAGGTTCAGAAAGTATGTTCTCTGAAGTGATAGTGCTATCAGCTGCTGTGTAAATCCTGTTATTGGCTTAGTGTAAAATAAAAGAGGGTCTTTATCCTCTCGACATTTTTAAAGAAATTATTTGCACATTATTCACAATAGCCAAGA